TGATGTCTTCATTAATAATGTAGTTTTAAAAACAAATTATAAAAATAATGTAGATTTAAAAGGAATAATAAAATAAATATAATTTAAATAAAAAAGTACAAAATTAAGTTATACTCAAAGATGTGGTTGGATAACTATTTCACGTTTTAAATTATATATATATATACATAATTATGCGTATTTTTATACAATTTCATTAATAAGTTTTTCACCTATCTTGAAAATATAAATTTTAGCCAAATTTCAACATAATAAAACATTTTTGAAAACTACTTAATTTTGTCTGAAAGTAATATTTGTAAGTTTAATTTTTTAAAATAAAAAATAAAACGAAATGGTTATTTGTTTTTAAGCATTTGAGTACACTTAAAACCACTCTCAATGTTACATCATGCAATCAAATGGCTGCCACCCCATACAATAAAAGAAAAGAAAATAAAATAAAAGAAAATAAATAAATAAATAAATAAAACAAAACCACACACATATTTGCCTTATTGTTGAAGCAATTACTAAGAATGACAGTAACCAAACAATGGGGATTTTAAATTCTATATGCTTTGTCATCATTTAAGGACAAAAGTTTTGGTTGTAAGTTTTATTTTCAAATTGAGACAATTGTATGAATGTGTTTTCTTTTTGTCATCTCATATGTTTTGGGCTATTTCCCTTCTTCTGACTTGTTCTTTTCTTCTACAATAATGTCAAACAGATTTCTAGAAATATCAAAAGACACATAAATGTTGCAATGGAGAGTTTTTTTTTTTTCTTTTAAATGACAATTTTAAATTATGAATGGTTCTTGTATTTTTTGAAATATTTTATTTCATTTTCTTATTTATGACCTCTTTTTTTAGTCATTACCATTATTTTTCTTATTTAATTTAAATAATTTTAATTCCTATCTTCATGCATTTCATTTCGGTTAAAAATATGAAGAAAAAAAAGGGAGCATAGTTTTTTTTTCTTCCCCTTTCGAGTTTGGAGGAGAGCATAGTTTAGTCTTTAATTAGTGTCCTCAAGGGAGCTTGGGTGACTTGGGGCTTCAAGTAATATCATCTTGGGTTCAACTCCACCAAATAATGACTGTACGTACGGATATAGAGACAGTGAATATATCCCAGGTACAGGGATAAAAAGGCCAAAGGCGCACCGACTCATGGGTAATAAAAAAAAAGTTGAGTCTTCAATACGTTGATTTGCCTAGAATTTCTAATCTTAGAAGCAAAATAGACCTACGTCACATAAAGTTAGACTAATAAAACTAATACACAATTTTTTACCAAACCACAAATTTACAATCCAAACCCAAGATAATTTAATTATATACTTTCTCTTGGTCTGAAATTTGAATTCTCCAACTCCGAATTTATTCTTATTCTTTTGTAACATTCAAACACATTAATGGAGACTATCAAACTCGATTTTATAAATTCAAGTTTATTAAGATATGAGCCAAACATTCTCTTAGATTTGATAATAACTCTATATATACTTCTCAAGTTTAGTCACCAGATATAACACCACTTCCTCATTAAGGTGGCTTTGTTTATTCCTTCAGACTTTACGACTGGAATTAAGAAAAAACTTCAATTATCTAACACTAGGCACCTAAATTAGGTATTAATATTTTTTATAAAAATTTGAGCCTATCGAAATCAGTTTTAAACCAACCAGAAAATTGACTTACAATCACAGAAGACAAACTTCATTTTACATTTAAGCTTTAAATTCCATTTTAGTAACTCTCGGATTTATTATATTTTGGTCGTAAACTTTGAAAGGTCTATTTTAATTCTTCAAATTAAAAAGGAAAAAAAAAAATCATTTTTGTCTTTAAAGAAATGTTTACTTTATATCTGTTACAGTAAATCCATAACTTGCGAACTAAAAACCATGTAATTACCAAAGCAGAATCTTAAATGTTCACGTCAAACCAAGCATCGCTCGAGTGGTTAAGGCACTAATCCCTCACCAAAAGGTACACACAGTAATCCAACCAAAATATCAACTATCGAGATCAATTACTAAAACAAAATTCTTGCTGCCACGTTGGGTTCGGATTTTTAATTTTGTGTTTTCTTAAGTTTTCTATGCATATTTCTCCTACAATTACATCATTCACTTTCTTTATAAATCTGAGCAATACAACAACATCAGAGAAATTGAGACTATCCTCCAATCAATCAGTGCACTAATATTCGTACCTCTCAAACTGAGATAATTATAGTTGCTCTTAAGGTCGTTATTCTTCTCTATCCCGTTCTTCTTAAGGAAGAACCTTCACTCTATTACAGAAAATCACTCTCTACTCTCCTCTCTATTCGTTTTTTAAAACATAATTTACATAATTTACATCATTCGCTATCTTTATAAACCTAAACAATACACCAACATCAGAGAAATTGAAACTATCCTCCAATCAATCAGAACACTAATATTCGTACCTCTAAAATAGAGATAATTATAGTTGCTCTTAAGGTCATTATTCTTCTCTATCCCGCTCTTTTCAAGGAAGAACCTTCGCTCTATTACAGAAAATCACTCTCCACTCTCCTCTCTATATGTTATTAAAACATAATTTTTCTTTCATGTTATTGGGCAGTCGTTATTTGATCATTTAATACTCTCTTCAACCCACTTACATAACTCTAACATAGCTTTACGTAGACAACATATTTTAAGTCATGTCATTCACATTTCTTGATTCATTAACCATAAAATAACAATAGGTCATCATGATGCATAGGTCAACGGTTCAAACTTCTATACTCTTAATTTGTTTGTTGATGCCTACTTTTTCGCTTAGATTGGGAGGTTCAAACTTCCATACTCTTAACTTGTTGTACTAAAAACGATAAAACGACCATGAGAACAAAAAAAAAAAAAATACTTTTGAAACTTTAGAAGAATTTAAAAGTTAATTAGAATTAAATAAACATGAATGCCCTAGGTTAAAAATGATATTTGAAAAATTAGGGGATTCAAATAATATTCTAAAGTCACAATACATCTACGAACATAAGTTAGCTCAATTTGGCAATCAATTCAGTTTTCAATTTTTGATTTTTCAAAAATTATTTTGAAATTCTGATAAATTTAAGGGAAAAAATTACTTTTCAAAAACTGATTTCTATTTTTAAAATTTTAGTTTTTCCTACTAAAATCTTTTTCGTCTAAAATTTCTCAACCCTAAAATTTATTTTTTTCTCTCTCAAATTTTCGCATTTTAAATATTTATTATTATTTTCTCTCTCCAAAATTTTCATCTTTATATATTTCTATTTTTTTCTTTTTGTTCCAATAGATGCTCTCATTTTCCTCTCTAGAAATGTAATATTTTATCGAAATTTCTTTCTACAATTTCGTTTTTAAATTTTTTTCTCTCTTCCGAGTCTATTTTTCCTCTGAAAATTATATCTTATTTTTCCATTCAATTGTCTTTCATTATATCTTTTATTTATATATTTTTTTTGCTAAAAAGTATATTTCGAATATTAATTTTATTTTTAAATTTTGTTCTTACTATCATTTTTCTTTTTCTTTATAATTTTTTTTTCTTTAAAGATTTTAACGAGTACGAGAATGAGAATGAGAGAATGCAACTTCATTCCCGCCTCACACTATTATCATCTCTACTCTAGATAGAATTTTCTCTCTAATATATATTTCAAATTTAATATGTTTTGTTTTCTGTTTTCCAAAAATAAAAAATAATTATCAAACGTATATGATTTTTACTTTTTAAAAATAAAAACAAAAAAATAAAAATAGTTATCAAAATAGTTGTTTTTCAAAATTTTTGGAATCATGACTCCCTCGTTCCTTGAGATCTACTTCATTCAAAGTTGATGAATTACCTGAGATGTAAATTTTTCTTTTTAAGTTTATACGATGAACTAAAACTCTTAAACAATTCTATTTAAGAGTTCATAAATGAAAAGAAGAAAAAGACCTTAAAAGTTTATAAATTAAAATATAAGCAAAAGTAGGTGAGCAGTTTAAACACCATCTGAAAAATTGATGGTACCATTTTACATGGCATAATCGTTGAATTTAGGATGAAGGGAAAAAAAAGAAAGAAATTAAAATATAAATTTTGAAAATTCTGKGACCAAAAAGTTTTTCAACGGTGGAGAAACAAAATGAGCTGGTCTATATTTAATTTGATTAATTTTATTTAATTGACCCATATTATATCATCAATTATCAATACAATATCTAACGTGTCCCATCACTATTTATTTTATTTTTTCTAATTTTTTTGTCATAACTGTCACGTCAATAGTTAATGATGGACATATAGTAGGAAAATAATAGGGCAATTGTAAATTCCTAAACTGCCCGTGCAATTGTGAACTCAGAGCAGGGAATAAAGGGCGTTTTAGTAATTTCGACATAGACTAGTACAAATGCAGGCACCGGAAAATCAATACCCAACGGTTTCTATAAATTGAGAACAAGCTCGCTCGACTGAGAGAAATTACGACCACCGCCACTTGCCGTAAATCGACGACGGACGACGCAGCAAAAATGGACCGCCGCCGTATCATTCTATGGTAGCGACTGTAAATTTTTGGTACCTCATACCTCTCCTCTCTCTCGGCGTCGTCGGCACCGTCGTTCTCGTTCCGACGGAGCGGTTAGTTTTCCGATGAGGTTCATTTTCGAGTTCGTTTCTTGCTG